TTGTTACTGCGTTTCAAATTCAGAATTCGGCCATTCAATTTCGTTTTGAGGCATTCAAATTCCTTTAGCACTGTGTTCAATTTAGCATATCGTCATTCTTTTGATTCTATCATCAGCTCTGCATCACCAACACCTTTTTCCAGACTAAGCCATTGCACAGGGTCTCCTGGAGACACCCAAGATCCAAACGCTGGCACCAGCTCGACCTCATCATCACGAGACGAGAGACACTCAACGTTGTCCACTTCACCCGCACTTTTCATAGCGCGGACTGTGACACGGACCACTCCCTCGTCCTCAGTAAGGTCAAGCTACAGCGCAGGCAGATCCACCATGCCAAGCAGAAGGCACGTCCCCGCATCAACGCCAGCCGCTCCATAAATCCAACTGTCACCCAGCTCTTCCTCACCTCACTTGATCAAGCACTCTCCTCCTCCAATCAGCAAAGTGCTGTGGACAAGTGGAACTGCCTGCGTGACACCATTTATGACCAAGCCCTCGCAGCATATGGCAAGAAAGTGAGGAAAAATGCAGACTGGTTTGAGGCCAATGGAGCGGAGATGGAGCCAGTTATCGAGGCCAAGCGCATCGCCTTCCTCGAGTACAAAGATAATCCATCGACGAGGAACCTTGAGGCTCTTAGAAAAGCTAGGGGCAAGGCCCAGCAAACAGCACGACGCTGCGCAAACAACTACTGGCTCAAACTCTCCTCCCGCATACAAGCCGCTTCCGACACAGGTGACATCAGGGGTATGTACGAGGGGATCAAGCAAGCCACAGGTCCCTCCATCAAAAAAACGGCGCCTCTGAAATCCAAGTCCGGTGAAGTCATCACCGACAGCAGCAAACAGATGGAAAGGTGGGCTGAGCACTACATGGAGTTATATGCCACAGAAAACACAGTGTCAGAGGAGGCTCTGAATGGCATCGCAAACATGCCTGTGATGGAGGAACTTGACAAGGACCCCACGCAAGAGGAGCTCAGCAAAGCCATTGACAGCCTCGCTTGCGGCAAGGCCCCAGGTGCTGATGGGATAACACCTGACATCATCCAACTTGGGAAACCAACCCTTTTGCCACATCTTCACGACCTCCTCTGCCTTTGCTGGAATGAAGGAGCCGTCCCCCAGGACATGCGTGACGCCAAAATCGTCACCCTGTACAAGAACAAGGGCGACCGCAGCGATTGTAACAACTACCGCGGCATCTCTCTGCTCAGCACTGTGGGGAAGGTCTTCGCACGCGTTGCCCTTATCAGGCTCCAGCTTCTGGCGGAGCGCGTCTACCCTGAGACACAGTGTGGCTTCAGGGCAGCAAGATCCACGGTGGACATGATCTTCACCCTTCGACAACTGCAGGAGAAATGCCGTGAACAGAGGAGACCTTTGTATCTCGCTTTCGTCGACCTCACAAAGGCCTTCGACCTTGTTAGCAGAGATGGTCTCTTCAAGCTGCTTGCAAAGATTGGTTGCCCTCCAAAACTTCTCAGCATCGTGACATCATTTCACAACAACATGCAGGGTTCAGTCTGTTGTGATGGAGAAACTTCAGAGGCCTTCCCAATCCGCAGTGGAGTGAAGCAGGGCTGTGTTCTTGCACCGACCCTCTTCGGAATTTTCTTCTCTCTCCTGCTGTCGTTTGCATTTGGCTCATCCCCTGAAGGCGTCTACCTACACTCAAGAGCTGATGGCAAACTCTTCAACCTTGCCCGCCTTAGGTCCAAGACGAAAGTGACCAGTGTACTCCTGAGGGAAATGCTATTTGCAGATGATGCAGCTCTAGCATCACACACAGAGACAGGGCTCCAGCAGTTGGTGGACAGGCTCTCTTATGCATGCAAGGAGTTCGCCCTTACCATCAGCATTAAGAAGACCCATGTCATGGGCCAAGAAGTCGAAACCCCACCCTCCATCTCTATTGACAACAAGACCCTAGACTGTGTGGGCACCTTCACTTACCTCGGATCAACAGTCGCCAGCAACCTGTCACTTGACGCAGAACTGAGCACCCGTCTTGCCAGGGCCGCCACAGTGATGGCCAGGCTGGCAAAGAGAGTGTGGTCTAACAAGAACCTAACTGTGTGCACAAAACTCCAGGTCTACCAAGCATGCGTCATCAGCACTCTGCTATACAGCAGTGAGGCCTGGACCACCTACACCAGACAAGAAAAACTGCTGAACAGCTTCCACCTGCGCTGCCTACGCCGCATCCTTGGCATCAAATGGCAGGACAAAGTCCCCAACACGGAAGTCTTGGAACGTGCCCACTCCACCAGCATGTTCGCCATGTTGAGCCAGCGCCGCCTCAGATGGCTCGGTCACGTCGACAGGATGGACTCCGGTCGACTTCCAAGGGCCATCCTGTATGGCGAGCTTTCGTCAGGCTCCAGGCCAATTGGTCGTCCGAACCTACGATTCAAGGACGTCTGTAAACGCGACATGAGGCAGGCTGGCATAGACCCCAACAGCTGGGAGGAAGCCGCCCAGGATCGCAGTGCTTGGAGACAGACAGTTGCCGCAGGGATCCACCGCACTGAGGAGAGGCGCACCTCCTTGCTGCAGGAGAAGAGGCAGAGGAGGAAATTGCGAGTAGCAGCCCCCCACCCCTGAGTCAGTCCCCTCTCCTTTCGTCTGCGCTAATTGCGGCAGAGACTGTCATGCAAGAATTGGACTGCTCAGCCACAGCCGCCGCTGCAACAAAGACGACAATCCCCCGGGCGCAGTCCATCGTCAGTATTGACGGACGGATGCCTACTACATTCTTTTTCGTGACACACAATCATCATTCAATTTAGCAAAGCTGGTTCGACTGGAGATTTTACTGATTTAATTTTTTCAATTTCGTAAAGAGGCAATCAATTTCGCTTAAAGAGAATTCAAATAAGTACGACTAAAGAAATACGAATAAACAGATAAACTGTATTAGGCAACTGTTTCGTATCTTCACTTTAATTCAGGCAAACCTTGTTTTCTTTATTTATGTTTCCAGTAGACTTTACATGGGGCCAATGAGGTTTTTTCTTCTTCTTTGTTTTCTTCTTCATTTTTTTTTTGGGGGGGGGATCTTTATTGGTTAACTGACCAAGACCTAATTTTGTATTGTGTTTGAATGGGGTGTTTCTTTATGTTTTTCCTGGTTTTTTATTGTTTATGTTGCTTCTTCCTCAACCATCAATCTGTTGGCGTGCCAGACATCTTGGCATATATGTTTGGGTATGGTTGTACCACTGCATGCACTTCACTTGGGTGATGACATCAACGCTCTGGATGGCTGCTTGTTGAAGGAGATCGCACCTCCACTGCTGCATGTTCATTCCTGCTGGCTGGGCAGCCTGTCTGTCTCCGACACGATGTTGCCACTCAGGTAACCCAAGGATGCGTTTAACTGCAGCCTTGAATGCAGAGTGTGCCATCTCCGTGCTGTTCAGGAATGGGGAGTAGGGAGGGAGGCGCTTCAGCTGGATCATTGGGTTGGCACCTTCAGGGAGTTGGGCTCGCACGTGAGGCCTCGCATTGTCGTATATGAGGTAAATGGGTTCGTCGTCTGGGAAAACTGCATCACACTCTTGAATTGTCAAGAAACTCCTCGAATCCTTCTCGCGTCACAGTTTCGAATGCGATTCGGTGGTGCACCAAGCCTACTTCACTAGAAACAGCGAAGGTGGCATTGCAATTTCTCCCTCGTTGCCTGTCGACGACTCGTCTTGCAGCGATCCCTCGTGGAGCTCTACCCTGGGAGCGTCGAGTCCAGACGTTATAACCTGTCTCGTCAATGAAGACTAGATGCGCCAGAACACCATGCTGCAGGAACCACTCACCATACTGGACGCGTTGATCAAGAACTTCAGGGGAATTTCTTGCATCAGGGACGTCCTCCACTAGTTTCAGTGTAATCATCATCCCATCCAAGGCCCTGGCTATGGTGGCAGTAGAAACCTGGGGCTTCTCTGGCAGATGCTCACTCAAACTAGCCTTCATTTGTTGAAGTTTCAAGACGGGATTAGCGTCAAGGATGCCTTGCAGATGGTTTCGCATGTCATCATCCATCTTGCTGTGGGTTGCTCCTCCTCTTGCCAGCGTCTCTCGCCTTCCAGTCCTCAAATATGTTGCAACAATTGATCTGGCTGTGGACTTGTTGATGTTCAAATTGACCGCAAGCTCAAGGTAGTCTTGCTCGTTTCCCTCGAAGGCCTCAATCAACCTTTCTCGATCTACCTGGGCCACTCTAGCGTAGCGACCACGAGCTGCCATTTCTAGAAATATGCGTGTAAAACTGTAGCGAAAGCTCGTCTTCGAAGTACATCGGCAAAGTGACTCAAGTGCCAAAAAGTGAGCCGTATTTATGCCTTCATCATTCTTAAGGAAACAAAAATTTAACAAAGCGTTTTTTAGATTGCACAAATTCCAGAAATGACTGCCCAAAAATGAATTTGAATGACTAAACACACGCCTCAAAAAGCTCCTGCGAATTTGAATGCTGCTTTGTTGAATTGTTAAATTGCATGATTAGTTTGTTAAATCGAATGACGCAACAGTACATTTGACTGGTCATAAAACGAAATCGAATGACCCTTTTCAGTAGCATTTGATTTCGCGCGAAATAGAATAGCGTAGTGGTTAAATTGGCTGCTCATTTGCCGAAATTGACCGAGAAAACCTATATTTAAAAATAGTATTGACAAGGGAGAAGTACGTCCGCTTTTAATGCGCTGTTTTGATGCAAGGTTAGGGGGCGTAACGTAAGTATACATAAGATGTACATCTGTACCATGAACAGCGCCCCCTAGTGTCATGTGGTATCAAGCAAGCCACCCCCTCCCCATTTTTTAAAATTTACTCGAATTCGTTGGACTAAAGATTGAAACTCTTTACCCACAGCGATAATTTTGTTTTCTTCATCGCATAAATCGCTTACAAAAACAAACTTAACTTGATGTTTAAGAATTACCGGTAAAGTTGGCCTACTTTTACCAAGACAATAAATGCCTGCATTGTCTGTACCTGGAATACAGCCGGACATCTGAACTGCTTTTCTGATGGGAAGATCGGGAGTGGTTTTGACATGGCAATACGTGCTGTCCATATTGTTGAGGTTGGTCACGATAATACAAAGCTCCGTTTTTGCTTCCTTGTTACCCCCCTTGTAATCTCCCGTGTACAGCTGGTTGGGTAAAAAAAAATGTGTAATACTTCAAAACCTGTTCATAGCCGGGTGGCTTACGTATGGAGCTCATTTAGAACGGCTGGCACCCTGAAATTTGTTTCTGGGAGGGTACCTTATTGGCATAAATCCAAAATGGCCGCGACCGCAGCATCTATTTATTTATGCACATATTTTGCTGCATTTATTGGGCTAAATGATGCTATCATGGTTTACATCATGTAAATGCAATGTTAAAATATGGTTTTTGCGGTATATTTCTTTCAATTTTTTTTTGATAATCCATTGAGGCGCACTTGATTTTTATAGTATGCCGCTACCATAGTATAGTTTTCCCGGCCAATTTCCTGAAATGTTCATTCACTTCTGAAAATCGGTCATTCGTTTTCCTCTGAATTTGAATGCACGTCTTTAATCCTATTTCAATTCAATAAAAGTTCAATCGTTTTCAATGTCCGTGCATACGGATTGGCGTAACAGACGGCCAATTACGTTACCTGTGCATTCATTTATACGCAAGCATACCTTTTCGCGCAGAGTTCTGGAATACAATTTCGTGAATGTGCAATCAAAAGTACGTTTTTCTCATTCAAAATAGCAGATTACATCACAGAACTTTGAACTAAAAGTGAAATAGAATAGTCAATGTTTGAAATTGCCCTCTAAAAGCGAAAAAGAAGTCTTGTAAACGAATCTGAATGAACATAAACGTGCTGCTCAATCACTGAATTGATTGAACTAAAATGGAATCGAATGCTCTGGTAGCGAAAATGAAACGCGTGTTCAGAGCGATTCTCAAATTCAGACGAAATTGAATGACCGATTTTCAGAAGTGAATGAACATCTTAGGAAATTGGCCGGGAAAACCTATTTTATTCACATTACTAACTTGTTTCCTACTCAAAACTTCTACATTATGCTTTAAATTGTTTGAAGTTATCGTATTTTTTAGTCATTATCATCCTGTTTTTTAAGCGAAATTCTAAGTAATGATGTAGGTTTTTCCGTTTATGAAGACGGAATTTAAAACCTTTTAGGAGAAATGATTTCGATAAAAATGGAAAATAACAAGACAAAAATTGGGACAACCGTAGAATTTTAATTATTCCTTAAACTGAAATGCCCTCATCATAGAGACCGTCATACACTCTACAAAGTCTCGGGCCAGTTTTTACTCAGAATCTGGGTTCTATTTGGTCAGGTCTGACACTTTTCATGGTCAAAATTGACACTTTTCTGGGTCAAAATGACTCTTTTGCCCAGGTTTGCGGGTCATTCGGAGCCAGAGAAGTTCCATTTTGACACGGAAGAAAGACCCGGGACGTTTTGGTTCGTATCGTGTCTCAATTAGCACTGAAAAGTAAACAATGCTAACTAAATGTTCATATCTTACGAAAGCCCGTTAGTGCCATCGGATGTTTACATTGCTCTTTGCAAGTATGTGTTTGGTAAATCTTGTTTTTCGGATGTATATGTTTGGTGAATCTTGTTTTTCGGATGTATATGTTTGGTGAATCTTGTTTTTCGGATGTATATGTTTAGCAAGTCTTGTTTTTCGGATGTATATGTTTAGCAAGTCTTGTTTTTCGGATGTATATGTTTAGCAAGTCTTGTTTTTCGGATGTAAATGTTTAGCAAGTCTTGTTTTTTGGATGTATATGTTTAGCAAATCTTGTTTTTTGCAAGTATATGTTTGGCGAATCTTGTTTTTTGCATGTATATGTTTCCCGAGTCTTGTTTTTTGCAAGTATGATGTTTGGCAAGTCTTGTTTTTTGCAAGTATAAATTTGGCAAATCTTGTTTTTTTGCAAGTATGTTTCGCGAGTCTTGTTTTTGTGAAGTCTATTTTAAGTAACAGTCTTGTTTTTTTAGCAAGTATATGTTTGGCGAGTCTTGTTTTTTGTAAGTATATGTTTGGCGAGTCTTGTTTTTTGCAAGTATGTTTCGCAAGTCTTGTTTTAGTGAAGTCTATTTTTAGTAACAGTCTTGTTTTTTGCAAGTATATGTTTGGCGAGTCTTGTTTTTTGCAAGTATGTTTCGCGAGTGTTGTTTTTGTGAAGTCTATTTTTAGTAACAGTCTTGTTTTTTTGGAAGTATATGTTTGGCGAGTCTTTTTTTTTTGCAAGTATGTTTCGCAAGGCTTGTTTTTGTGAAGTCTATTTTTAGTAACAGTCTTGTTTTTTGTAAGTATATGTTTGGCGAGTCTTGTTTTTTGCAAGTATGTTTCGCAAGTCTTGTTTTAGTGAAGTCTATTTTTAGTAACAGTCTTGTTTTTTGCAAGTATATGTTTGGCGAGTCTTGTTTTTTGCAAGTATGTTTCGCGAGTGTTGTTTTTGTGAAGTCTATTTTTAGTAACAGTCTTGTTTTTTTGGAAGTATATGTTTGGCGAGTCTTTTTTTTTTGCAAGTATGTTTCGCAAGGCTTGTTTTTGTGAAGTCTATTTTTAGTAACAGTCTTGTATTTTGAAAGTATATGTTTAGCGAGTCTTGGGTTTGTTTTTTTAAACTATAGGCCTATATGTAGGGACCCGATCTGCTACTCCCCACACAAAATTGTTACAGCCCTATTTTTATTTTTGGAATAGTCCTACTAGCTTGTATCCGGTCACTTCGGCACCTTGGCAACTCGGCACCTGCCAACTCGGCACCTGCCAACTCGGCACCCACCAACTCGGCACCCACCAACTCGACACCTGTACAAAAACCAACTTGGCACCTAGCCGACTCGGCACTTGACCAACTTGGCACCTCCCCATGTGAAAAAAATCGAAATGTTTCTCAGTAATCAGTCCGCACATTACTGATTTTCATTGAGCTGGTAAATACGCTGTTACTAGTATACTAATAGCCTAATTGTTTTTATAATGGAACTGGCGATATCAGATTGCAACGTTCGTTGACAGTTCCTCCGATATTTTGAGTACGGGTAGAAAGCACTGTACGCTGGCCGTCACCGGTCAACGCTTGTCCTTCCAAGTCCACGGCAACGGTGCACTGCGCCTGGCCTGGCCGCACATCCACACCGGCCATCGCCACGGTGCACGGCCAGTGACAGTGCCGTGCTTGACCGCACATGCCCTCCGGCCATCGCCACCGCGCACGGCCGGTGACAAGTGCCACGCCTGGCCGCACAGCGCCAACATTTCCAGCCCCCCCCCAAAAAAAAATCGAGATGGGGTATTGGTTGTGAATAACGGCAAAACAGCATTTTGCTTTCGGGATGACAGGTGCCGAGTTGGTCAGGTGCCGAGTTGGAAGTTGTGAGAAAGAGGCAAAATTTGGGTGCCGAGTTGGCCAGGTGCCGAGTTGGCTGTGTGCCGACTGAATGCCGAGTTGGCAAGGTGCCGAGTTGGCAAGGTGCCGAGTTGCCAGGTGCCGAGTTGCCAAGGTGCCGAAGTGACCGGATACCGTACCATTATTACATGGACCACATGTTATGCAGCTACAAGTACAAGCTAGTAGGACTATTCCAAAAATAAAAATAGGGGTGCAACAATTTTGTGTGGGGAGTAGCAGATCGGGTCCCTACATATATACTATAAAAAAAAAAGACTCGCCAAACATATACTTGCAAAAAACAAGACTGTTACTAAAAATAGACTTCACAAAAACAAGACTTGCGAAACATACTTGCAAAAAACAAGACTCGCCAAACGTATACTTACAAAAAACAAGACTCGCCAAACATATACTTGCAAAAAACAAGACTGTTACTAAAAATAGACTTCACAAAAACAAGACTCGCGAAACATACTTGCAAAGAACAAGACTCGGGAAACATATACTTACAAAAAACAAGACTCGCCAAACATATACTTGCAAAAAAAAAAAGACTGTTACTAAAAATAGACTTCACAAAAACAAGACTCGCGAAACATACTTGGAAAAACAAGATTTGCCAAATTTATACTTGCAAAAAACAAGACTTGCCAAACATATACTTGCAAAAAACAAGACTCGGGAAACATATACATGCAAAATACAAGATTCGCCAAACATATACTTGCAAAAAACAAGATTTGCTAAACATATACATCCAAAAAACAATACTTGCTAAACATATACATCCGAAAAACAAGACTTGCTAAACATATACATCCGAAAAACAAGATCCACCAAACATATACATCCGAAAAACAAGATTCACCAAACATATACATCCGAAAAACAAGATTTACCAAACATATACTTGCAAAAGAGCAATGTAGGCCTATACATTCGATGGCACTAACGGGCTTTCGTAATATCTCCCCGATTCACGCAACAAATCAATCATACAAATTAGGCACTATACAGGGACATAACCTTCCCTCCATTCTCATCACACCTTTTGACCCACCTGCTTAAATGTCAGGTCCTTTTTGCCCGTCTTCTTTTTGAGTTGCAATCCGAACCAGTGGAAGATCTTCTTGCCGGGATGCCAACCGTAGTTCCTCAGCATGTTAGGAAGAAAGCTGAGTTTACCAAATCTGGCATCTGGAATCAAACCACAAACCATCATTCTGTACATTCGCTTGTATCCAATGCTCTATTGATGACATGATGATCACAAATATTAGCCCCCTCCTCCCCAGGCTCTGCCCACCCCTTCACCAGCCCCCCCCCCCCCGCCCTGCCCCGAAAATGCAACTCGGTTCCGCCTACTCACCAAGGAAGACTTTCGTGATATCTCCTCTCAGGAATTTCTCGATATCATGCGAGTCATATCCAACAGACGCCAGTGCAGCAACCATTGAACCGGCACTGGCCCCAGCAAAACGTTTGATGTTTCCCAGATAGCCAAGCTCCTCAAGGACCTGTGATACAAGGAGAAAGATTTTTTTTTTTAAACTAATTAAATTACTGCATTATAACCATATGCATTTTAATATTGAAATCCCAGAATCTATAACTTTTCCACTGCACGCCAGGGACACATTTCCAACGAAATCTGTCAGAGGATGTTTATTTGCGTAATAGTAGGTTTTCCCGGCCAATTTTCTGAAATGTTCATTCACTTCTAAAAACCAGTCTTTCATTTTTGTCTGAATTTGAATGCACGTCTTTAATCCCATTTCAATTCAACGAAAGTTCGATCGTTTTCAATGTCCGTGCATACTGATTTGAGTAACAGACGGCCAATTACGTTACATGTGCATTCATTTATACGCAAGCATACCTTTTCGCGCAGAGTTCTGGAATACAATTTCGTGAATGTGCAATCAAAAGTACGTTTTTCTCATTCAAAATAGCAGATTGCATCACAAAACATTTACTAAAAGTGAAATAGAATGGCCAATGTTTGAAATCGCCCTCTACAAGCGAAAAGGAAGTCTTGTAAACAATCTGAATGCGCAAAAACGAAAGGTTCTGCTCAATCACATAATTGATCGATTTGAAATGGAATCGAATGCTCTTGTAGCGAAAATGAAACGCGTGACGGTGTTCAGAGCGATTCTCAAATTCAGACGAAAGTGAATGACCGATTTTCAGCAGTGAAAGAACATTTTAGGAAATTGGCCGAGAAAACCTATATTAACACATAATCAGTGGCGTAGCCAGGATTTTTTTTCAGTGGGGGGGGGGGGGAGGGGGGCTGGCGCTGGGGGGGGGGGGGAGCTGGAACATTTCATGGGATGGGCGTCATGTAGATCAATGATAATTTTTTTAGAAACTCAAAATCTCAGTGGGGGGGGGGGCGACTAGGGGGGGGGGCGACAAGGTTTCATGGGGAGGGGCTGTCGCCTCCCCACGCCCCCCCCCCCCCGTGGCTACGCCACTGCACATAATCGAGTACACTGAACTTCGATTCGTAACTCACGCCGTGCTCGCGCTGCGACGAATTGTCTCTGTTTTTATCCCAGGCACCGCATACTAAAACAAACGCTAATGTAACGCACATATGGCACCAGATTATTCCTCATTTGCATACGTGTTCAAAAATCGTGCACATTAAAGATCCAATACCAGGGTGAGAGAGCAGGTAGTGATGGGCGCGTACTGTTCGACACCCTGGGGACGAGGTTGACTGAACTTTGACTTTAGCAGGCCTTGCAGAGAACTTGCACAGAGCGCCCTCATTGTGGACAGGTTTTTGTTATTTAAATCAGTGTCCAAAATGTTCAAAGAAACAAAAAAAAACACTATTCATAATATGGAAATTTTGCGTCGGGGTGATGATGTAAATCAAATTAGGTTTTATTGCCCCAAAAAACACTAAGTAATGATACACGTTCGCATTGTGCAACATTTTTTCTAAGTTATCACGCTTCGTATTAAGCACCTGTGGAAAATATTTAAGTTTCAAGATACTTAAAGCTAGAGGCTCCGTGCACAAGCACCCCATCAACGGCCATCATGCCTTGCGCAATGGACGCGCCGCGCCCATGGAGTCGAGGCTGGCGGGGATTAGTTTCGGAGACCATCGCAAGTTGAATTCGCCGACGTCGCCTGACGCTCACGCGAAGACGGGATGGGTTTGCATATTTATAGATAGAATATATTCTATATCTATGGCATATTCAGGAAATCGTGCGTACTTCACGCGTAGTACGCAGTACGGTACGCGCACGCTATGTGTCCCTTCCACACATAGATATAGAATAAAAAGACTCAGCCTCGACTCCAGGGGCGCGTGCTCAACCTCGTCCCCAGTGCTTACTTTATTTCCAACCTCGTTTCCAATAGTAAACCCTGGATAGGAAACTTTCTTCCTGTATCCTGATTCGATACCGCAATTGGCCAGTAAGGGATTTTTATCGTGTACTTGGTGTTATTATTCACAACGTGCAGTACGTGTTTTTGCGATCATTCGTCCACGCCTTCTCGAAAATACTAATTTCCTTTCCAGTTTGTTCATATTTATATGAAATGTGATACTGCATGTTGTCTCGATAAGACCGTAAAAGTTTAATTTTCAAAAATCGTGTTTTCGTAACTCACGCCGTGCTCGTGCTGCGACGAATTGACTCTGTTTTTGGCCCAGACACCGCATACAAAAACAAACGCTAATGTAAAGCATATCCAAGGCACCACACTATTCCTCATTTGCATTCGTGTGCAAAAATCTTGCACATGCAAATGATCCAATACCAGGGTGAGAGAGCAGGTAGTGATGGGCGCGTAGTGTTCGAATCTCTGGGGACGAGGTTGGCGCGTGCTCGTTCCTTACACTAACCCCTGTCTGTGATGATGACGTAAATGACGCTGAATGGCTATTCACAGCGTACTGCGCGGGCATTTCGATGATTGCACGCCGGGCGCGCCCATAATGCGCTCGCGCTCGCGTGCTTAGCTTTGCACGTAACGTCACGTATAAAAAAATAATTATGATTCAAAAGTCGCGATGCCTGTACGATATGGATTATGTCAGTCGCGTTTTTCGCTTATAAAAACCCTGTATCTGTGGTTGTAAAGGCACGAAAGGGGTACGTACATTTAATACAAATCTTTGCTAATTAACACAACGTCCAAACGTTGTGTTTGAAAGGATTGATTCTTCAAAATCACAACTTAAAGATGGCGTCGGCACGTAAAACGGATAAACTGCAGCCCTAATTATAATGTACCGTATTGGGTGCGTTCGATTAGCTTACACGTGTAAGTTTCCCTTACACGGGAGCGTTCGTTTAGCCATCACGTGATTCTCGTGTCTGCTCCGGTGTCATACACCAGTACCCGAGCTGGCGAGCGGGTCTCTGGTGGAAGTCACGGTGTAATGACGTAACGGGCTAGCCCGACTTCGCAAAAATTAAACAGGGCGGGCAGAATTCGCCGCGACGTAAGTACAACTACAGTACAAACATGACAAATGTACAGATTATGACGCAAATGGAAAGAAAAGTTTATTTATCAGACAAAATAAATTGGAAACTATGTGCAAGTTGTATGGTCCGTTTATTTTCAGGGACGGAACCCGACGGTTGGCTGCTATAGCTAGGCCAATGTCGTACCGAAAGCAGTCGAAAATCGCGGTACGGCACTAGCCGGCCATGGACTGGTCATGGCCGGATGGCTGCCGTAACAATAGCGATGGTTAAAAAAAAAAAGGAGTCTGAAAATGCACTTCACTCTCCATGATATAAATAAGTGGTGTCTGAATAGTATGATACTACGTTCTTTGCGATGGTTCAGTATATATAGGCCTCAATTATTATTTTGTTAATAACAGGGCCGGGCTTCGAAGAAAAAGGAGTTAGCCTAACATTAATTCAAATTTTAGTGACTATTATTACGGCAGCCGTAATGCAGTTTTCAACTACTGTCGTACTATGGGCGGCCATTAGGGCAAAAAAGTTTAGCAAAAATAAAATAAATAAAATGCAAAAAAAAATGAACAATAACGTACAATTAACAATGAAAATGTAGGACAACAAAACAAAATTGAAACGTAAAAAAAAAAAATAAATAAAATAACAAATAAAACATTCGTGTTAAATGTACAATAAAACACAAATTAAACTAAACCCAACATTACCGTAAGCCCCGCGAAGAAAGTAAACCCCAAAATTACTGTAAGTATCGCCACGAATGTAGACCCCAAAATTACTGTAAGCCCCGCGACGAATGTATACCCCAATATTACTGTAAGTCCCGGCCGCAACGAATGTATACCCCAAAATTACTGTAGTAGTCCCGCGACGAATGTAAACCCCCAAATTACTGTAAGCCCCGCGACGAATGTATATATCCCAAAATTACTGTAAGTCCCGCGTCGAATGTATACCCCAATATTACTGTAAGTCCCGGCCGCGACGAATGTATACCCCAAAATTACTGTAGTAGTCCCGCGACGAATGTAAACCCCAAAATTACTATAAGTCCTGCGACAAAATTGTAAACCCCAAAATTACTTAAAGCGGGGTACCAGTCTACATGGACTGGTATACAACAACCCATCACTGCTGCGTGGCCGCGCTACATAGACTGTACACGTGCAACTTTTGCGTTTATTTGGAGGGGGCGTTATCATACACGAAGCCACTCTGTTACATGTCAAGTCGGATGGAGGGGAATTTCTTTGGGGGGGGGGGCAGCCACCATGATCAATAAATTTTGTCAGATTGGGCATTTTTTTCTTTTTTTGAGAAGTGATTTATAGCTGAGAACATAGCAAGGATGGATCGATATGTGCAGGCTAAGTTCAGGGAATAATTTTTATTGTTGGAAAATTCCAAGAAAATTTGCCAATTTGCCGCCGTGAAGTACTATTTAAAGGGGAATAAAATTGGGTTTTGGGTTTTGTTATAATCATCAGCAGGACTGTTGCTCATTCTTTTGTACTTTTTGGGCTAGGAGTCAAATGATCAGAGGACCGAAGGCTCTGCGAACATTTTTGATAGAGAATATTTCTGTTGATTTACATTGGTATAGATACCAGTGTTGTTTAATGAGCTGCCCAGAGTGCCTGCCTTAATTGCGACGTCACATAAAAAAAATGGGTTCTATTTTTATGGGGGGGGGGGGGGTGAGGGGGGCGGGCCTCCGTTGCCCCCCCCCAAAAAAAAAATCCGCCCTTGGAGGGATGGGGGTAGTACCCCCCCCCCCCCATTTTTGACCAAGGGGGATGGACTATTGGATCACATCCCCAAACCCCTTGCCCACGTGGTGAGAAGACAAAAAAGGGCAGATTTTGAGATATTTTAAACTTCCCTACAATTAAAATGTATTCAATAGAGTACTGAAAAAGGAAGAAAAAGTACAACAGCTTTAAATGCGCCTTTTGATGTAAGGTCAAGGGGCGTAGGTATACATGATGTACATCTGTTTAACTCCCCCTGGTGTCATTGTGTGGTGTCCAGCATGCAAGACCCCCCCCCCCCCCCCCCCCCCCCCGCCTTCGAATTTTCAGGGCCGTGCAATTTTTTATTAGTTTAGTCATACCCAGTCCCCAGAACAGATTTCCGCCACTGCCAGTGTGTTTCGAGAAGGGCCCGTTTGCCGGGTGCTTTTTTTGTGGGTACTACAAATAGACAAGTGGCATCTTTTTATCGGTTAATTTCTCTTAACGTTCACGAGATCTCGCCTTTTTGATTGAGGAAGAAGGGTTAAATCTTCTTTGTTGCATTCGCGTTTTTCAAATTTGTCTCTGAAATACGCTCTAGGCATTATGTACCTACACTGGTACCGATATCCATACCATATAGCCATGCTGGTCGCAAGATAAAGTCAAAAATGTTCATCAGTTCGCAGAGCCTTCGGTCCTCAGATCATTTGACTCCTTTCCCAAAAAGTAAAAAGAAAGAGGACCGTTGAAAAGTAGAGCTCTAAATGTTTCTTGTTTTATTGCTTTGTTTTCTTTCAGATTCAGTGTAAGAAACTTGTTTTATGAAACATCATGAAGAGCTGCTTCAGGTAAACACTTATTAATCTTCATTTTTTTGAAAAAAGGTACATCTTTGTATTTTGAGTCATTTTTGCCCCAAAACAAGCAAATATTTTACCACATGACTTGAAATACATTTTTACCAGTGTTGTAGTCGAGTACTTTTTTCCGAGTACCGAGTACTGCCGAGTACTTGCGTTGCCGAGTATGAGTACTTGAACTTCCGAGTACTTCTATTTCCAAATACAGCCATAGGGCAATACAGACTTACTCACGGGTTGCTGTTAAAAGTGTTTGTCCAGACGTGCACAGAGGAAAATCAGGAAACTTCGAGTACTCCACAAACGCAGCCAATCCACCATTTCAAACTGTAAGTATCGATAAGATAAGGCCGCTATTCGAGTACGAGTACTTTGATGATCGAGTACAATTTTGACATGTCAAGTACGAGCACTTTGCTGCCCGAGTACGAGTACCGTCATTTCGAGTACGAGTACTTTGACATGCGAGTACCAGTTCAAGTACACTTAAAAAAGTACTCGAGTACGAGTACGAGTACCGAGCAAGAGTACTACAACACTGGTTTTTACAAAAAATCCAAAGAATCCAAATATATGTCACATTAGAACATCAATCACGTTGGACCTTTTCAAGTTTTCATAATCAACAGTAATTTTTTTTTTCCACAGGAAATCTAAGTAGACTCTCTCTTAAAATCAGAAGGTGCTCTGTCACCCGCAATAGTACCTTGTGCTACAGATACTTGCATTTTAAATTTGGAGCGATTTTGGCTCTTTACGAATTGATTTTCTTGTCAATATCTCTAAATAGGATAAATGGTTGGAAAATAACTGATAGTCAACTGACATTTAATATTCTGCTTAGAATTTGCATAATTTAGAATTTTTTTTATCTTACCATTAATGATACATGACATGTGGTCCATAATTATCTATACATTCAGTTTTAAAAAAATGTGTCCAGTTGGTTGTTTTAGTGCATGAAAGTGAATTTTAGTCAATGTGATTTTATGACCCTTGCATCGCTTGTAATTTCCTCGATTTCAGGATAACAACCACGTCGTCTGCTACCACACATGAATGATGGGATGGTGAACCATGACAACTGATCAAAATAATGGCAAGGTATGAAGGCAGACTGCAAGAGTCAAAGTAAAGAAGCCGGTGTGAAAACTAAAATTGAAAAAGAAATTGGCATTCCAGCAGAAAACTGCGAGGATAAACTGAAAAGCTTAAAGAGATCTGTAGTAATCATTGTTTTTCTCTTTGTATGAAAGGCATTCCATTTGAAGCAAGATCAATTGTGATATTTTGTAGTAAAAGGCGCTCCATGAACAGAGTCACTTGAAAGGTCAAATAGAGCATGTTTGCATTGCACCCCAAGTATGTGCAGTTGTGTAGCTTAAATGGTCTGACAAAATGTTAAAGTTATTACACAGTCGAGGTTCTAATAGAAGCCATCCAGAAAACAGTCTCTGAACCGAGGTGAATGTTCACAACAAATTGTCAGTAAATTATTCTTTTCCCACAATTGCATTGTAAAACATAGTCATATTCCTTTAATCCCTGAGAAATATCACCTATTTCCTCTTTTTTATTTTTGCAGATTTCAAGAGACATCTCGTCTATTGGAGGTGTTCAAGGAAACGAAGCCCTCACCGGTGAAAAAGAAAGCGGTCAAGAGTCAAAAGAGGTCCAGCCTGTTACTCCTGTTGAGTTGAGTCATTAAGTCAAGAAGGTCGAGTTGAGTCAAATTCATGTTCGAGTCAATTTGATTTTCTGAAATTTCAACACCTTATAATAAATGTATAAATAATTGTTGACTGGAAGAACATACACAAGACACCCATTTATTATGAAGATCCAAAGACGTGAGTCCCATCCATGTCAATACAATGTATGTGCATTTTTTCTCCTAAGCCCTCGAACACACAATACAATGTTTGTTCAGATATTTTGTAAATAATGTGTTCATATATTAAAGAAGTATTTATTTGTCGGCTATATACACTTATCTTTAAAAAGTTGCTTTTTTTGTTTTCCCTGAACAGAAAATGTACTTATTGTTTTTTATGAATAAAGGAGGTATTAATTACTAATAAATGGATCTTTATCATGTACCGACATAATCTTGTAAGCACTAAATAAGTTTAGAGTTTCAAAAGCAATGAAAACTGAAATAATAGTTATAATCCATGGATGATACACAGACAATTTTTTTATTTTCAATTTCGAGAAGCACGATATGCAAGAAAAAACGTTTTTCAAGTTATGAAATATCCAATGATTGTAGATTGAAGCAATAAGTTATATACATTTGTACTTAAAAAGGCAAATGGAAGTTTTTTTTCTTCTAAATGTATTTCTTGAAAGTGTGTCAATAAATAAAAAAAAACACTGTGGCAATATTTGTGACGGCTTTTGTCTGCAATTTGTTGTCATGGACTCGACTCTCGAAATTAAGGCCTAAGTTCAATTTATCAATAACAAGCTTATGAAATGAACTTCTTTCAAGCCGAAAATGCCTCAACTTTTGGAACGAATTCCAAACGATTTAGGATGAAATTTACGTTTACATCGGTCTTTATGACATACTTGTCGATAATTTAGAGCAAATCTATTGATTCTCTCATTAATTTATCGTATTGCAATGATCTACAGCTAATTAAATTAGCCGGATCGCCGCATCTCTATTTTCCCGGTGAGCAGACGACGCTGTGTGTACATTCACATTTGGCCCCGCCCCTTAACACCTTTGACCTTCATTTCCCCAGCATGCCATAGGCGAATACACCGCAGCGTTTGATTAGCCTCATTGCGTGGCTTTCCCTGGGTGTAACCCCGCGTATACACGTGTAAGCTAATCGAACGCACCCTATGCTTCCACAGCAGCCTCGACACCATGGGCGCGTACGTTCGCGTTTCTTCACTCATGATCGCGCAGTGCATGATGGGAAACAACGTTGCGCAGCAAGATCTCATGGGGAACAAGGTTGCGTCAACAGAGCTCTCAAAAGAGGTAAAAGTGCACCCTCTTTTATTGGCGCACGGAGCCTATAAAAAAAAATGTAAACAAAACTTATAGCAAACTTTTACAAACTTATAGCAAAAAAGTGTTCAGATTTGTGTTTACTCGCTAAACACATCTTTTAGCAACATTTTAGGCAACATTTGTCCAAATGCCTCAAATTTAAAACATGGTCCCTTGGTCATTTTGACCTCTCTTGGAAGATCAAGACAACTCATAACCCTGTCAAAAATATCAGATTTGGACGTTTGATGTCTCATTTTAAAATGGAAAGGCGTATCTTTCAAACCAAACCTATATTTTTTATGTTGGTTACACATTCTACATCTGGCATTCAGTTTATTTGTTTGCATTTTTTTGATACACACTGTACAGTCCGTTCATCAAATGCAATCTGTGCATTTTGTTCGTGTGAAGCGACAAAAGTGTTCAAATTCTAAAGAAGGGTGCTAAACAACTACCCTGATAAAGTTTCTGCTCAGTGAACGTTGTATATTCCGGAAAAAAAAACAATATTCTAGGATCTCGATTTCAAATCCAAAGTTGCCGAGTCACAGCGGTCTCACAGCCTCGACTCCATGGGCGCGTGTGCGTTCCTTTATTAACCCCTGGCCGTGATGTACACGTAAACGACGCTGACTGGCAAGTCAGAGCGTACTGGGCGCGCATATCGAAGATTGCAGGCCGGGCGGCGAATATTTTATTTACACAATAGTACAGGGTAACCTTTTTTCAGGCGACTTGAATCAAGGTTACCTGGCGCTCTACAATCCTGTAACCTTTTACCTACACGCGCGCGCGTATACTATCACAAAGCTTCGTTAATAGGCATGCTGGCTAATGATCAGACGACCCGGGTTCAGATTTTGCTTTTTTTTCCCAAAAATTTCAAGTTTTATCTTAGAAACGTTATTTTTCAGTCGGATACTACTTGTATAGCAGCAATTTTCTTTTTCTATTCTGATCCGAGGCTCTGGAGGATTTTTAAAAAAAAAAGGGAAATAAAGTCCGAAATTCGTACCAAGTTGAAAAATAGTAGCCTCCACTCAAGCTGGTTATAAAAACCATGCTCCATAGGAAAGCGCAACAAAGTTCCCCAGATAGTTGTGTAAAAAAAAATATCGCGGCCGGGCGCGCCCATAATGCGCGCGCTTCGCCAAATAAAAAAACGAACTACTCACGGAAATTTCTAACGTCTCGTTGGAAAGACCTTCCGAAAATGACAGCTTGCCAGAAAGAATAATTTCACAGGAAGTTTAGTCCCCTTACTATCTTCCAACCAAGCATGTTTTTTTTCCAACAATAACTACGTCAGTTACTTTTTGGAGAGCTGCAAATGATGAACTCAGTTGCGTATCCGGGGGGGGGGGGGGGGGGGGCGGAGGGGGCAATATGTCTGCATTTCGGCGCGGATATGTGGTTGCCCACCCCCCCCCCCCCATCCAAAACTGGATACGCTACTGGATGGACTCCTGCTAAGCAAGATTCCCTAAAGGAACATCGAGGCAAGCCAACTGAGTCGAGTAGAATCTAATCGCCATTATATAGTCTTGATTCATCATCAATTATTCATAAACCGCTAAGAGGCATTTTAATTGTGGATAACTCAAAAACATTATTAATGAACTTACGAAGATTCAGTTCAATAAAATGTGAATGATCATACAATGTAAAGAGCACAAAAAAAGCCCTTTTTGTTCGATGGTACAACAATACATGAGGTTTTGAGCAGTAAGGTAATCCCTTTTCACATACATGTAATTGATTAGAGAAATGTTTAAAATGTCATAACGTCACCATACTTGGGTACAAGCTCAGAAGTTGTACACAGACATTATTAAGGTATTTTTGTAACCCAATTTGAAATTTGTGTCACTCTCAAACTCATTTTACCAACACAGGTATTTGCACAAAAGACTATAACCATGCAATGGTAAACACATGCATGGGTAAAAACACTGGTGTGAGGATACTGAATTCTACACTTTTTGTGTATTTTACAAAAAAGTACTTAAACACTCACCCGAATGGCTCCGACTGCTGCCAATCCCTTGTTGCCTCCGCCCTCAAACGCGATGTTCTCGAAGTCGAACTTATACCCGGCCAATTCCTCTTTCTGTTCTGACGTGAGAATCTCCCGGTTCGTTGGCTTGCCACTGCGGGTCGACTCGACACGAAGACGCCCGTCGTCCTCTTGTCTTGCATGGGGCGAGTACGAATTCACTCTGGATCTTATCATCATGGTGCAGTTGGTGTCTGTGTGCGTGAATGTTATTCTCCGACTGTATTTAAGTGTTAGCGGCACGCACACAAAATATCGAAAACACTGACAAACGAAAATGACGAGTTGCCAAATTGAAGTCGAAAAATCCGGGTTCAACACAAAGCAAACACAATGCCATACCCTGGTTGAAGGCCGAAATACTGCAGTTTTCGGACCAGAAAGCCAACGGACCAGAATTTCTGCGCATTGTGGTATTGCGTCCGATTGATTCATCCGGGTTTTACAAAAAGAGGGAGGAACACAATGTACCTATTCACTGTACCTTGTCCTGGGGGAAAATATAGGGGAAACTTAATATTGCAATTTTTTCCTTACTTGTGAAGTGAAAGGCGAGGGGCACGTCAAATGAACACAAAATGAAAGTCCGGAAAGCGTGTTTACTATTTATTGTCATGGTGGTGACTCAGAATATATTAATCTGAAAATCCATCTTTTACTTTTCACCACCGTAACTGTGAGCATTGGTCTTCAGTTTAAAGGGAATATACAACATTTGCAAACATCAAAAAACAAATCTACCAAATTAATGTGAAATACCTTACTGGACTTTTAGTGAAGGACAGTCTAAAGCATCCTGTAAAATCGTGGCACCTAATGTGCCGTCTTTTTCACGAAAGTGGTATTTTTGTATCAATTTCAAATGCTGGTCGGCCGACCAGAGTTGGAAAAAAAATGTCTTTTTTAAATACTGCCCCGAATTACCATTATTTAGTTAGGTTGCATTTGTTTGCAATCGATAACACACCTGCATGTGTGAGCTCGTACAAGCCAGCTAGACTGATTTCCTGACCTTACCATTCCCTGACGTCTATGAAATTGCTCTGTTTCATCTTAAGTGGGGTCATGGAACCAGACTACAGGAATATGGCTGTTTTTCTTGGTTTTTCCAGCATCTACGAACACAAAACTTCAAACAAGTTAGTGTAACAATATTTCCTATGAAATACTAACCCCCCAAATCCATCCATTTCTGAAAATTACAGCAAAAGCAAACGTTGTATCCTTTAAAGACGAACTCCAACGAAAGATGAAAACAAGTTTGTCCACCTGATGCTTAATATTGTTTATTCAAGTCACACTGATGCTCAGATAGGTTTTCCCGCTTGAATATTAACTCTTTTGTCATACAAATTTGCTAGATGATCATTTAATTGAAAGAGGGCTAACAAAACTGGAACAAACGCAGTTGGAATTTCGCTCTTTTATATTCCCTCATGCTGCCACGAAGAAAGCATGTTTCTGCGACGCAAAACAAAAATCCCCTTTAAACACAAATTACTGAAACTCCAGAAAAAATTACGTCATGGTGATGATCTAAAGTATAATTGTTTTTAGTCACAATAATTAAACTGAAAATCCTTCAATGGCTTTTCACCACAGTGACTCCAACAGCCGACCTCCAACAAGAGAAGAAATAACGTTGCTTAGTTATAATTTGCTTAATTAAAATTATTTAGTATAATTTTTTCCTTGCTATATTAATAATATGCTTATCTTTAGGCCTACATGCGATATCGATACCATCGTCCAAACAAAACCGCAATCTTTGATGGCACGCACTTATTTTCTAAAAATCGACCTTGTCGTCAATGCATAATACTAAAAACCATGCCTTCTCCTGCAGAAACCAAATTTATCTCACTGTTTTATTTGTGACACTATATCGACTAGCGACTGACCAGTGAAGTAACCAGGATTAGTAATGTCAGTATAATAACCTGGATTAACAATGTCAAGATTAATTCAAAAGATTTATTTCTATTTAGCAATTAAATAATGGGCTAAAATGAACATGAAAAAGTCGTCTAATCACGACAGACTCACGTGGTAAAACAAAACGCAGAACCTTTTCGGCAATTGCAACAAATAAAACTTGTCCAAATTGGCAGATTTCGACCACAGCCGAAATCCAGACATAGCTACGTGTTCTATGAACATAGTTTTAAAAATAGTATGACAAAATTTTAATACCTGCGTCTAGGCGGGCTAAGATATGCCTATACAAAATACTGGAAATTCAAGGCGAAAGTGAAATTTACGTCTGAGCGAGATGAACTCTTGGCAGAAAGAAGCAGATTGTCACTTGTAAAAGTTACCACGATTGATTGTGGAAGTTGCGTTCCTTCTATTCAGAAACCGAGTCGGTGCCAAGACGGACGAACAAACCCTGCACGCCAGCCAATCAGGAGCTGACTTTAGAAACTATTAAGCAATCTTGGGCGGGAAATGCTGTTGATTGGTCAGAAGCTGTCAGCTAACATGGCGGCAACCACGAAGCGATTGTCGGAAAGATTCTGATTTTGAAATGTGTGTTCCGGCAGTTGTGAACTCTCTATCACATGCACACATCGATTTCAGTGCTGGCAGAGGGGTCATTTCATAGATTTGGGTTCCAAAAGTGTGACATTTTGTGTGTGTCCCTGTTACGCCTGTCCTGTGTAATTGCCATTTCAGTTTCATTAAAGTTTACTTTAGACTATTTTGTATTTGTTTGGCAGGTAGGCCTACTTTGATTTACATAATCACTCTTAGAGATAGAAGGCATGAAAGAATGTGTCATGAATCTTTTACATGTTAGATGTAACAAGGGAAAAAAATGGAACCCCAAATTTATGAAATGACCTAGAGGCATAAAACGGCTTCAATCTGCGCTTCAAACGAGACACATTTTTGCTCAGCTCGCCTGTAATTACGTCATCGCTTTGCATAAGCTCGATAGTAGATGCCGTTGATTGGTCCATGTCTGGAGGTCAAGAGGCGGTGCAGGTAATTGTTCATGTATTTGAATTTGTCGACCAATTGTCTTCGAAACGGGGCGTCCACTCCAAAATCCATAGAAACGAAAATACCGATAGTGCAAATTGAAGACGACAAATCTGGGTTGAACAGTTATGTGAACTTAAGGGGTCATTCAGAATATTCAATGTTTTAAAATTTCGATGTTTTTTCCAAATTGTGGGTGGGTGGGTCAAGCTAAATAATTGAAAATCGAAATTCACTTTCCATGGAAAAAGATTTAAAAAAGAAAAAGAAAGATAGATCTTTTGACTTGCCTGAACTACGCGCAAGCGTTCCGATATCGCGATGCGTGTTTCTTTTCCAACTTCGCCCCCTGTATGAACTGTACATGTACGTCATGTACATGTACGTGTATATAAACCCACTGTGGCATGAGAGGGAGGTGGTTTTTCAGTAGACTTGGACGCCGGGCGTTTGTAGCGGTTAGGCCGTGCAGAGGCAGCAGGGTACCAGGTGTACTAGAACGGCTCTATAACACGCCGCGGGCGTCGATTACCAATCGCTATAAAAACTGGACTATTCAACCACTGGACTCCAAGACTACGAGGACCGCAGCCTGTGATGTGATGTCTGCCCAAACCTGATGGTTTTCGTATGCATATCAGCTGGCAAAACACAAGAAACTGAAGGTCACCAGTGCAAAAGAGGAAGACCGACAACTTCAAGCTGTCACTGAAATAGAAACACATGTACATGGGTATACATGTTCATGTTCAAGTATATGTACATAAGTATGCAAGTGCATGTACATGTACATGTTCAGGTTTTTATTAATCGAAATTAGGGGTGGGTGGGTGGGTCAAAATAATTTGGAAAAAAAGTCGAAATTTTAAAACATTGAAAATTCGATTTGATTTACTTTGATTTACATAATCACTCTTAGAGATAGAAGGCATTAAAGAATGTGTCATGAATCTTTTACATGTTAGATGTAACAAGGAAAAAATATGGAACCCCAAATTTATGAAATGACCTAGAGGCATAAAACGGCTTCAATCTGCGCTTCAAACGAGACACATTTTTGCTCAGCTCGCCTGTAATTACGTCATCGCTTTGCATAAGCTCGATAGTAGATGCCGTTGATTGGTCCATGTCTGGAGGTCAAGAGGCGGTGCAGGTAATTGTTCATGTATTTGAATTTGTCGACCAATTGTCTTCGAAAGGGGGCGTCCACTCCAAAATCCATAGAAACGAAAATACCGATAGTGCAAATTGAAGACGACAAATCCGGGTTGAACAGTGATGTTAACTTAAACTTAAATTATTTATTGTATTTAAGTGTTAGCGGCACGAACACGAAATAGCATCGAAAACACTGACAAACGAAAATGACGAGTTGTTGAAAATTGAAGTCGAAAAATCCGGGTTGGACACAAAGCAAGCACAACGAATATCCTGTTTGGTTGAAAGCCGTAATATTTTGTTATAATAATTCTGCACTTTTCGGCAGAAATTCCAGAAACTGAAAGAGTTCTAACCTGAACTTTTGCGCATTGTGGTATTGAGTCCGATATGCACTCATTCGGGTTTTACAATAAGAGGGAGGAACACAATGCATCCTTCACTGTCCATTGTCCTGGGGGAAAATAGGGGGGGGGGGGGTTATATTGCTGCTGGGAATTTCCCTGTTTCACTTTGCCTCTTTCGGCGAAGTGAAAGGATGTCAATTGCACAGAAATGAAAGTCTGCGAAGCATGTTTAATATGTTTAATATGTCATGTGGTGACGCAGAGTATTCTAACCTGAAAATGCATCTTTTACTTTTCACCACCGTAACTTTGAGCATTGACCTTCAGTTTAAAGACGTACTCCAACGAAAGATGAAAACAAGTTTGTCCACCTGATGCTTATTGTTTATTCAAGTCACACTGATGCTCGGATAGGTTTTCCCGCTTGAATATTGACACTTTTGTCACACAAATTTGCTGGATGATCATTTAATAGAAAGAGGGCCGACAAAACTGGAACAAACGCAGTTTGGAATTTCGCTCTTTTAAATTCCCTCTTGCTGCCACGAAGAAAGCATGTTTCTGCGACGCGAAACAAAACTTCACTTAAAACACAAATTACTGAAAAAATCCAGAAAAATAATTACGTCATTACGTCTAAAGTATAAGTGTCTTTAGTCACAACAATTAATCTGAAAATCCTTCAATTGCTTTTCACCACAGTGACTCCAACAGCCGACCTCAAACGAGGTTTATTTCCCTTATAATGATCCAATTATGTGCTAAAAATCGTTGTGATATGTTTTTTACTTTTACTTT